TAGCATAAAATGGACCCCCCCCCCCCCCCCATGGTCAACACACCTTTCAAAACCAAACTACTGGCACCAGCTAGACCAGGCGTTTCAGGAGGTGCCTTGTCACTTCTCATTTTTTTGCTGGAGGCACATGTCCTGCCCAGCATCACTGTGAGCTTTGCTGCTTGATGCCTGTTGCCACACTGAGGATTGTTACAACTTGTGGAATTGTTCATGGGATGACACAGACTGCCTATCAAGACAGCTGTTGTGTGAAAATGCCGGCTGCCAGGGTTGGCCCAGGTCTTGGTGCATGATCATTAGTTTGGAGATTGTTGATGGCTAATTGAGCTTCTCTTTCCTTTCAGATGGTATCGTCAAGTACATGCAGGCCCAGGTCGGCCCTGCCTCTCAGGAGCTGACGGCAGATAACATCGAGAAGTTCCTGGCCAAGGATGAAGTTGGTGTGATAGGTTTCCTGAAGGAAGGCGGCGACCTCAAGTCGGTCTTTGAAAAGGTTCGTGTCACGTAATGTGTCGCCGGCATAAGGGAGGGTGCTCCGGAGAGCTCGTGCTCGTCGAATCGGCCAACGCTGTATGCCCGGGCTCATGCTTGCGTGCTACAGATGGTCTGCCAGTGCTCAGAAGCAGGCATGCGTTTCAGACTACATTGGTCCAACATGTCTTTTGCATCCACTGAACTATGGGCGCCATATAGCCGTAGTCAGCGCGCCCTAAAGCTGAAATCATCAGCATCGCGTCCGCTGCGCTGCATCGTCACCCCGCAGCTGATCTTGGCGACCCATTGTTCGCCTTACTCGCCGTTGCTAGCGGGTGAGCGCGCCGTGCGGACCCGGCGACGTTAACGCCCGCTGCCGGCGCGCCAGGTGTCCGACAAGCTGCGTGAGAAGGTGCGGTTCGGCCACACGAGCGAGGCGTCCCTGCTGAAGCAGTACGGCGAGGACGTGATCGTGCTCTTCCGGCCCAAGCACCTGAAGAACACGTTCGAGGAGAGCAGTGTGCAGACGGACTCGACGGACCGCGCCGAGATCGAGAAGTTCATCAAGGTCAACTAGTGAGTCCGGACGCTGGTGTGCGATGTCGCTCTCTGGGACGGGACAACGTAGGCGTGGCGGGGGAGGGCAGCAGCGGCGGGCGTGCCGTCGGGTGCGCCACGCCCTGTTGTGAAGCTCGGGTGACGTCGGCCGCCCGCTGTTTGTGGACGTCGCCAGTCACGCGATGCGGTGGGCATCGGATGTTATCAGCGAAGGCGGCGGCGATGCGGCGCTCCTGGACTGTAACCGTGTTCTCCGGGACAGGAGCGGTGACGAGGCTCATTGGCGACGTCCTACGTTGCATTGGCAGTATTGCCTCGATGGCTAAGCACCGCGTCGCCGCCGCCCATATGCTCGCGTGCTGCGCAAGCGGGTTCATTGACATTGAGTGGGTCGTTATAACCACTTGCGTGCCTGCCGCGACAGCAGTCGCGTTTCACAGCTGACCCGTTGCCGGCTGGCTTTGTGACGAGGATACCACCTGTGCCGTCACGCGTCCGAGCCGTGGCCTCACCTGATTGCGTTCCGTCTGTTGGTTCGTGTTATTATCCTAGTGTTGGTCCATTTGTCGGGCGTAAGTGTGATTAAAGACGCCATTTTGGAATTCCCGCCATTTCCCCGCCACATCATGCCCAGCTGGCTGCACAAAGCAGTTCTCGCCCCCTCCGCCGCCTCTTTGCTTGTTCGAGACTGGTGAGACAAGTTCTGGCTGGGACGCCAGCTGCCGATGACGCCGCGCCGGCCGTCTGTCTGACCCGCTCCCGTCCCCGCTCCGCCGCAGCCACGGCCTGGCAGGTCACCGCACCACCGAAAACGCCGCCGACTTCAAGGCGCCGCTCATCATCGCCTACTACAACGTCGACTACGTGAAAAACCCTAAAGGTAGGCGGGCCCGCCGCGAGCCGCTCCTGCTCCGCTCGGTCCGTCGCAGGGCTGGCCGCACCGGAAGTGGGCCGCTTCCGGTGCGGCATCCGGCCGCTGACTGGCACCCGTGTTTGGTGTTGCCGGTGCTGACGCGGCATGACTGAGCAGCATCTGATACGGGAGCGTCCGGACGGCAGCGGCGTAGACACCGCCTAGACGCGGCGCGAGGGGAGGGCTGGGGGCTCGGGTGCGCTGGGACTGATGAATAGCCGGCCTGTAAAGGAGGTTCATGGTTAGCACATGCTCGAGTACTTCGTACTTTGCCTGCCGTACAGCACGTGGCGTGTCGTGCGTCGCATTGTGTTATCGTAGTTGGCCGCGTGCGCCCTGCTCACGCGTGGGCGTATGGTCCGTCGCAGTCGTGCCGGGCGCGCGACTGCCGGCCCCGCAGCGCCGCTGACGCCCTGGTGACTCCTCCGGCAGGCACCAACTACTGGCGCAACCGCGTCATGAAGGTGGCCAAGGCGTTCGTGGGCCAGGGCCTGACGTTCGCCGTGTCGCAGCACAACGACTTCCAGCACGAGCTGGAGGAGTACAACCGCGGCTTCGTCAGTGGCGAGAAGCCGGTGATCTGCGCGCGCGACGCCGAGAACAAGAAGTTCGTCATGGAGGAGGAGTTCAGCATGGAGGCGCTGCAGAAGTTCGTCGAGGCGTTCCAGGTAGCTGGGGGCACTGGTGCTGCGGTGGCGGGGAGCTTTGGGCGGGTCGGTGCATTGAAACAGCGTTGGAGATGTGGGGACGACCTGTCTCGGTTTCTGTTAGGCACTTGCATTTGTGTTAATGTAACGCCGTACGGTTTGCCAGTAACAACTGCCTGAATAACGTAACGTCTGGTTCTGTCGCGGCCGTCCAACACCGCACTCGGCGGCCATCGGCCGTCATCAGGCGGATGGCATCAGGGGTTATGGTAGCCATCCGCGGCAGCAGCGACAGTTGATGCCAGTGGCTTGTGGCAACTGCGATGAACCTTTTCATGTCGGTCTGACCAGCTCTAGACCGTGGCGAGCTCCGTGGGCTCTCGTTTGACGCCGAGCTGGCACGTGCCGCGACAGGAGGGCACGCTCACGCCATTCCTGAAGTCGGAGCCGGTGCCGGACAACAGCGGCGGCGGCGGTCGTGACGGTGGCCGTGGCCAAGAACTTCGACGACGTCGTCGTCAACAACGACAAAGACACGCTGATTGAGTTTTACGCGCCCTGGTGCGGCCACTGCAAGAAGCTGGCGCCCGTCTACGACGAACTGGCGGAGAAGGTGGGCTGACGGCCGCCGCCACCGGTCGCGGCGGACTGCCGGGCTGGGTCAGGTCGGTGTTTGTGAACACCGTGCACGTGAGACCCGGGTTCGATTCTCGGCCGTGACTGCTTTATACCAAGGAGGATCATGCCGTCGCTGCACATGAGCGAGGGCTGCGCGGTGTGCGTTGTGAATCCCTCTAGCGAGTGTTGACGTCCCCCGGTTGGAGCTGCGCGGTGGTTGTGCGGTGATGCAGTCTGCGCAGATCGTGCCCGGTATGCTGGTTCTGACTCCTCTATTGCGAAGATCACCAGGGTGATCTTCGCCGGCGATCTGCTCAGTCTCGAAATCCCGTCACTGATACCAGCTGGACCCCGCCTGTGGCGTCTGTGACGCCCGCTGTGCCCCCCCCCCCTCCCCCTGCCATTTGCCTGGCCGTGTCCCCCCCCCCATCGCCTGGCCTGACTGACCTTACTCTGACCTGACCCGCAGTTGAAGGACGAGCCGGAGATCGCCATCGTTAAGATGGACGCCACGGCCAACGACGTGCCGTCCACCTATGACGTGCGCGGCTTCCCCACGCTGTACTTCGCACCCAAGGACAGCAAGAGTAGCCCGAAGAAATACGAGGTGGGTGTGCGACGGACGCCGAGGCCGCGCCGCCGCCGAGACTGGGGTGGGCTCGGAGCTGGGGCTTTAAGCGCTGGACATTGTTTAGCGTACCGCTCTGGGTTTACGTCTGGCAGCTCCTCGAAGTAAAGCGTGGCACGTGTTTGGTGTTTGCCGCGGTTTTAAGAAGGACGAGCCTCGACTTTGCAGAGTATTCAAGTCGGTCTGTGGGTAACCACTGGTCTGATGTGTTCTTCGTTCGGGTGCTGCCATTATCGGCATATCTCGGGGTTTACCTGTGCATGCCAAATTGTGTACGTGCAGCTTAAGTCTTGCGACCGTTTGTCGTGTTTTTTTGTGGTGTTAGTCTTGGCATGCTTGGCCCCCTATCGTTGGTCAGCAACTGTGTAGGGTTATTACAAAGCCAGGTCCTGGGATCTTGGTATCAAGTAATATGTCCTCGCTTGCGGTTGGCGGCTGCAGTACCGGCGGGACTACGAAAGGGTAGTGGCGTTTTAAGATGGAAAAGACCAGGGCCTGAGCGCGTTCAGATTTTGCCGGGTGTGGTGTTCGTCTCCTCGAAAACCAGCGACTGACTGCAGCCCTGAGATGGACTGCAGACTGATCCCGAACAACGCCACCTATCGTCCGGATGGCACGAGTGCGCCCTGCGCGACAGCGCCCTGGCTATGTATTGAGATATTCCATCGCTTTCGAGGCGTGCAACTAACTGGATGCGTCCTTGGCGTCCGCAGGGCGGCAGGGAGATCGACGACTTCGTCAAGTACCTGGCCAAGCACGCCACCAACGAGCTCAAGGGCTACGACAGGACCGGCAAGGCCAAGAAGACCGAGCTTTGAGCGGCGGACTGTCAGCCAGCCTGCAGAGATTCCGCGCGCCTCTCGAGCCGCTTGTGATACATGTTGGGGCCGGGGTGGGCCTGGTGTGTTCGTGTCTCCGCTTCTGGGTCGGCTCCCGCGGCCAGTCACAAAGTTTTCGGCGCTGCGCGTTGTTGCCCGTTCCATTGCGTTCCATCTCTGTGTGAGTGCGTGCGAGTCCGAGTCCCGCTGCACTGTTCAGCACCGGCCTTTATTTTTTATTGATACAAAATATAGTGGACAAAACAGGACTCGCGTGTGTGTGTGTGAGGGGCTGCGGCAGCGCCCCGGCCATCGCGCGTTCGGAACGGCACGTCCGGGGGGGCAGGATGCGCCCGAGAGCGAACACCGCGCCACGCGGCGGATGTCGGCGCGTCTGGAGCCACGCCGTCGTCGCGCTCCGCCAGTTGCGTGTCCATGATGGGGGGATGAGGGTAGCCGCGGAGCTCAGCGTCGCTTCTGCGTGCTGATGTAGAGCACGTTGTTGCCGCGGATGAAGGCGTCGCCGTACTTGTTCTTGAGCTGGCCGTTGTTGTACTCCTCGGTCTGTTCGAGGGCGATGTTCATGTAGCCGTCCAGGCAGGCCAGCACGCCTGCGGGCAAGAACGCCGACGGGTGTCAGGCGCCTGCTCGGAGGGTGGCGGCAGCAGCGGGGTATAGTGCGGTCATCAGGTGCAGTAGGCGCGTGAGGTCTTTGTGGTTGGTAGTGGAATGCTAGTGGCGAGTCATTGCTACAAGCACGAATTCGCCGACGTGCGCGGTTACATCTGGAACACATTTCTTGCGTGAACGAAAAGAGACGCCATGGTTAATCTTACCTCACTTGCGGCTCCTTGACGAGCGATGGACAGATGCCTCACAGTATGTGTACGTGGGACCCCGGAGCCCTGTTTCTCATTGGTTTACGACCCAAGCTCCGCCCGTTGTGGAGGCGCCACAGATACACACCAATGAAGAACGCCTCTAATAACAAATTGGGCGCGAGCAGAATCGGCTGATTCAACAATGGGAGCGTGCAGCGCGCAAGAATCGCGCCGTTGAATGTCATTCGAATAATAGTACATGGGAAGTGATCCGCACCAAATGACAATCATCGATTGCAATATCCACATGGGATCGAGGTCTGTCTAGTTGCCGGACGTACAAGACCGTTATCAGAGCATCGACCGTTGCTAGGCGCTGCCATGTCGACATCGACGACTTACTCGGTAAACACATGCACCTACTTCGCCTCTCGGCCGAGTAAGAACTGGGCTTGGGCCGTGACGTCATAGGTAAGGAAGGGGCTCCCTCCAAAGTAGCTAATGGGTTCCCACTGGCCAATGAAGAACGGGCCCCCGGACGGAGGGCTGTCCGTGTGAAAAGCGATCACTCTGATTCTCGCAACTGCGGCATGACGACGCCACCGACTGACCTCGGTAGTCGATGCCGTTGTTGAGTTTGACGACCACTGGTCGGCCGATGACCTGCTTCAGGAACTCATTGGGCGTCTTTCGCTGTCCTGCCGGCGCGCTCATGGCTGCTGTGCGGAGGAGCACGACAACGTAAACATCACTGGAGGGCCAGCACCACCCAGGCACTGGTACATGAATAGGCATTCTTAAGTCCACAATAACAGCAGCCCACTGCCCACAGCAAGAAAATGAAAGATGTGACTATGCCAGCTAAATTCTGGAAGGCCCACTCAACGCAAACACGGTAATGGCCGACGCTAAATCCTGCCAGCATGTGCCCACATCCGTGAGGGACGCGTGGGGACCGTCGGGAGTGCCTTCCACATCCATGAGAAACGCGTGGGGACCGTCGGGAGTGCATTCAACATCCGTGAGGGACGCGTGGGGACCGTCGGGAGTGCCTTCAGCACCCGTGAGGGACGCGTAGGGACCTTCGGAAATGCCTTCAACATCCGTGAGGGATGCGTGGGGACCGTCGGGAGCGCCTTCACGTCGCAACAGTCCTGGAAGTGAGGCAAGCATACCAGCAGGCACACGGTCGTATGCCCGCCCTCAGGCGCTGCACGCGACGAGAAACGTCTTGGTGGCATGACACGCATCACGGCAAAAAAAAAGTGGGAAATGGTGGTGATTTCGTCATTGAGAGGATATGGTTTAGCCTTCATTGTAATGAACATAAAATAGACAGTCTATGGTCATGCTATGAAAATAAGGCTGGAGAGCATAAATACATATTGGTTTGCAGCTTTGTCAACAGTGGACAAAATATGTTTAGTGCTGCTCATTACAAACAATGTGTAAGCTGAAGAGTTCTGATGATGGGCTCAGACAGACACATACTGTCTATTTAACAGCAAGTTTTTATATCCTGCATGCTGAGTGTGGCTGCAAGGTTGTAGCCTTTTGCACCTCTCCACCAAGGTCGGAACATTGGTTCTGGCTTTGAAACTCTGAGAAACCTGGTCTCAACAACATTTTAAAGATTTGATCCAAACCTTATGGAGGGATGGATTTCTGTGATCTGAGCTAACACAGAGCAGGTCTTGTGTGAGCCTTGATCCCTACCATCCCATTGTGCAATTCCAGGTAAACAGCAGAATTTCATGGCAAAAATTAAGGAGAGTCTTCCACATTTGTAAAGGTTTTGAATTGAGCTAGCTGTCTTGAACACCTTTAGGGGCTATTCACAATCCTGCCCTTCTTAAGACCTAAGTTCCTCCAGTTCCTGAGCCACATGCCTACAAAAATGGGGAAGATATTTCACACAGCATTTCAGAATGTTGACATTCATGACATGATAATAATGCCATTCAAATTCTCCCATTCCATTAGCCATGTGCTGCTCCAGGTCAGTAAAATATGATGTCAGGGGCATTCATGAGTGCAACATCCATATGTAACCCATCACCATCAGTTGGCTCTCAATCAATGTTGTACCAGGTATGATGACACAATCAAACCATAACACAATGAGGAGCATACAAGCTAAATGGAGAATTGTGCTGTCTAAAGCAGTCTTTTCCACTTTAAAAGTACATAACTAGTTATAATAGAGATTATGTTATCTTATCTGATGTTTGCTTTGGAATCTTAAACATGCAACATTCCTTTTAACTTGCTGTGACACTCTGCACAGTCTGTCCTGTCCTCTGACATAATCTGACCTTCAAGGATGCTGCTGCTAGCTACTAGCCTTAGGTCTTGCTCTCAGGGACAAACAGCAGTACCTGAAGCAACTCTGTAGGTAACTCACTACACCAGGGGTGGGAAATCAGAAGGCAGGTGCTGTAAACAATGGAGCCACTGGGACAGGAATTTTGGGTGAATGACACAAATAAACTTATTTTTGAAACAATTAATGGGACCTGTCTGGTCTACTGATATTTCACAACAATTAATTATATTTTATAGCTGCTGGAGATCAACAGCAAGAGCTGAATTGGTCCACTTATTGCTATCAGATATCAATGAAATGTGTCAGAAGTCTGAGTCAGACCGGTACACCTCCAGCTATACACACCAGCAAGCATTTATGTGAATCAATTCAGGTTAATGTGAGCTATAAATAGAGAAACAATGTTGGAGTATGGCTAGTGCATTGTGGCACTGCTATGGTCTGCTTATGTTTTGTATATTACTTTTATATCTGGTGATTTGTGTTAAGCATTTGGGTTTCTGTCTCAAAAGAACTGTTTTTATACATGAGACTGCCTTTTTCCATGCCTTATTTACACAAGTGACACATGTTCAGTTGACCTGAGCATTCAACATTACCTACATGCATTGAAGGTCCACAAACTTCTGCACTGCACAGATAACTTTGAGAGACTAAGACATTTTTCTCTGTTCATAGGATGGACATTGACATGGACAAGCACACTTGTTGTCACATGGCACAGAATATAATATCAGAGCCTTAAGTCAAATCATTCCAAAAATCTCACAAATTTGGAGGTACATACCTGTTAAATGATCCACTCAGACAGGTGCAAACCGTTTTTTAGATTGATGTGCCCTTGTTAACACTTCTTTTGACACAGAACATGTAGATACCTGATACAGTGAACAGAATATAACATAAACTCATGCACTGCACGACATATACAATCATATGCAAGGCATCAAGTTAAAAAAATTGCGCTAACACAGTTCAATCAAAGATGAATTTCTGGAGACGTGACAAAAGTAAAATGCTCGAATCAGCTTGTCACAATTATTCACTTACTGCTTCTCAACCAACGACTGCAGTCAATGTGACAAAAGGGAGGGTCCGGTTCTCTTCACTCGTTAAGAGCCTGAATGAACGGACTAAGCACTGTTCAACACCTCCCAAACGGATCAGGCACAACGGTCTTACGTTTTACGGAAAGTATTAAACTTACGCTGAGTGGTACAAGGCTGAGTGGTAGAGCATGTACCACCATTGGCTCGAGTGCGCCGAGAACCCAGACAAAGAATGAAGTACATCGATCTAAAGTACTGCTGAAAAGCCTCACACAGATTTTACTGGTATTGATATGCGCTTCGGGAAATATCAGGGTTCTCTTTAATTGTCGCATGACAAGGAAAAAACTTTTTGAGTAGTAATTTTTCACAATTAAAGATACAGGGTACCTTACGACACGCTGCAAAGTACGGCGTGTCTCGACGCACGTATGCTTCGCGCAGGACTCTGATTTCTAGCCCGTGGCGTCATCAGCTCGCCTCGCGTAACTCGAGGCACTGTGTAGGGTAGGAATGGGCATTTCAGCAGCTAGAAATAACGCTGAATTTTTTCACTACCCGCAGTAGTCGAGAGTCGCCAGCTAAACATACGGGAGAGTATCTAGAGGGGGAGGGGTCATGGAGTCATGGCGCCCTTGGCCCCATGAGGTTTTGGCGCCCTTCCTTGGCTTCGGGATTCTTCGGGACACCAAGCAGACTACGTCGGGCCTCAACACCTTTGGCTTAGAGTCATTAAATCCAGGTTCACCGTAATCTGTTAACCTGGCACTACGACAAAACCTTGGGTAATTTTTTCTTATACGAAGGGGCACGATAACCTTTCCTTGGGGGCGCCTGTAACGTTATGCTTTATCGCCGTCCCGCGGTGCGCGAATAACAGTGATGAATGCAGGCAGTCTTCGTACTGGTACGTGTCAACTCAGTGTCTATTTGGGAACACCGCGCCTAGTTCGGCGCCCCGACCTAAACAGCCCAACCTCTCGCACGCCAGTGTGTGCACAGCTGTCTTCTACCACGCGACCGGTCGGTGCTGCGATCTGGCCGGCCACAGTCAGCGTAATCTCTAGTTACCTCATCGCTCATGAGATATCGCCAGGTGTACGGGCCACACTTCGCACGCCACACGTCACCGTACATAAGTTGTATTTTCCAGAAGCATCCAGATTTAGGGACAACACAAAGAGCCCCAAACCTTCCCTTCCAATAGTGAACTAACTCCAGAAGCGTTGGAATGTCTGTGCCTCGCCATTGATGAGATCCTATATCGGGCCCATCCGGCGGAGAGACTCCAAAGACCTTATTTGTTGGCGCCGTAGACTTTATTTTGAAGAGTCACTCTTCTCTAGGGTCACCACAAATAGCTCAAACCTTTCATTTTCAAGTGAATACAGGTTTCGGGGGGCGCTCCAAATGAGCCAAAAATCTTTATTTTCGCGAGGAACAAATTCCGACCCCTCGAAACTGCCACGCCGAGCGTCGGTGATTTTCTTCTTTTTCATGATTGTGATTCCTTACCGGCAGTCACCTTTTTGAGGCACGCAAAAATCGTATGTGATAAATATCCTCAGGTACAGTAACAGATAATGCACGTTCACCACGGCAAAACTGCGCGTGCCCCCGGACACATTTGGTTGGGCACTGGCCTGAACAAACAAATGCGGATGCAAAAGTTCGAGACACACGAGATGGCATTTGTTCTTGACAGCTTCGCCGCTGGAAACAGCAACCACGTATTTCGATTCATGCCGTCATAGCAATGCAAGACGTTGCGTGCCGGTGGTGCAATGTATATCGGATATCCGTGGGCTGTGGATATCTGCGAACCCGAGGCATGGCTGGAGTTACATTCCTCAGTTCGAGTTCCAGCATTTTGTTCAAACTCCTTGATGATGCTAAACCATGCAGTGCAAAATTTGTTTTTTTCCGTAACACAAAGCATTCTGCATATGGTAGTTAGGTGGTCCTGTGTTTTACTGCAAAGCCTATCACATCAAAAGTATACGCATTTCAACATGCTCTGCCGCTTTCCGTTGCAACCACAAGTATGTTAGACATTGTGTCATGCGATGTCATTTGAGTCACCGCGACTTGGAATTCGTGTGCAAGCTGCTGCTTTCGCTTTCAACTATTCATTGCAAGATCAGTGATATACAAAGTCAAATTTTGTTCTTGTTTCGACGTACGTAAGTAAACGATGGCTACTCATTTGAGCCGCGTTGTCGTGCCTGACGTCGTTTTTATTTAGGAGCTATCATTAACCCGTTATGTCATATATTTTCCAAATTGCTGAGCTAAGAATGAAAGGGTTCATCAGTCTCTGGAAAAATGGACGCGCGCCATATACATATCCACCTACTCTGCCTTTTCTACCATGATGCGCAGAGGAAGATAGTTTCCGGATTTGAAAATAGGAATCTGAAAATGAAGTGGTCAAAATTTGGAAAACTCCCTGAGAGGGAGGGAACCAAGATCCAGGGGCACCACAGTGAGGCGTGCCCCTCCCCCCCCCCCCCTGACGAAATCCTGGATCCGCCCCGTGAACACAAGCCAGGCAAATCTTGTATTCGGCCAACAGTCAGCATCGATGGAAGTTGGCATTGTTTTTATATGATGCTCAGGGACAGCCAGGCCGGTATTTCGTGACATATTACGAACTGGCCGAGTTCTTCGGTCATTCCGCCCGAACATGATTCTCTCACGCACGTTTGCGCAGCGTGCTGCTATTCCTTGTTTGTCTCCATATTTCACCCGGCCGTCAACTGTGTTGTACCATGCAAGAAGTTCACGGCATTATTGCATTTGAGCCCAATACACCGTTGCAGACAAAAAGCTAACCAGTATACATGAAGAGCACAATTCGCCGCACTTCGGTGGCAAGCTAACAGCACGACACAAGTGTGTTTCTGCTCTGTATTTGGTGTAGTTGATTACATTGAGCAGGAAACGGATCGAACGGATAACATCAAATGCTAACACACGTCTACAGCGCAGTGACCAGCATATCAGAGACATATTGAGAACTCTGCTGGACCCATTTTGACGAGATCCCGACATTAAGTGGTTCCAATACCAGGGACACCGAAATCTCGCTTTGCACAGGGGCTTTATTATGGAGGAGCCGGGACAGCAGGCGGCAGATTCCTTACGAAGGAGTCCGGTACAAGAGGCGGAAGGTTCATTACGCAAGGGCCTGGTATAGGAGGCGGGAGGCTCATTACGCAGCAGCCGGGTACAGGAGGTGGGATGTTCATTACCGAGGAGCCGGGTACTTTCAGTACAGGACAGTGCGGGGTACGGGAAGCGGGAGGCAAGCCTTCCCGAATACTGCCGATGTTCCACAATACGTCCATGGCGATGCATGAGCAGAGTGGTATCAAATGCCGTATGCCGTCCCTGGCCCAACTTCCCCAAATTCATTCATGCGATGTCGTCACCTTCCTCTTCCTTTTTCGTTTTATTAGGTGATTTTTGAGGAATAAACTGGTGTAAAACAAGTGGTCTTTCAGCTAGAGCAAAGTCAAGTAAGGATGAAAATATTAGTGTCTGACATGCTGTGAAATACTGAATAGCAAAGACCATCAACAACAAACGCCACAATGTGAGCTGCCTGTTCAATGCTAGCCGACTGCCGACATATACGGTTGTCATCACACCATCAAGCTCTAAACAGCACTTCGCCGCGTCTCATCAGGTGCGAGCATTCCTGCCTTTTGTGTGCAAAAATCCGTGCGTCTCATCGCTGGCGAACACAACATGTGGTCTTTTTCGGCTTTGAACAGCATACTCACGGTGGTAATCAGATTGTGCCTCCATGTGGAATCTTTGGCATAATAGGTCCCATCCATGCACTCTTCTCCCCCCCCCCCCCCTCCCTCCCGCTCTCTCCCTCTGTCTGTCTGCCTGTCTATTTCTCTCTGTCTCTCCCCCCCCCCCCTTCTCCCTCTCTCTCTCTCTCTCTCTCTCTCTCTCTCTCTCTCTCTCTCTCTCTCTCTCTCTCTCTCCCTCTCTCTCTCTCTCTCTCTCTCTCGGTTGCAGTTGGCTGCCATTCGGCTGCTCAGGAGCCGGTTACAGTTGGCTACCGCTCGCGCAGCGCCATCAGTAGTCGACAGCGATGGCCTGACCACCGGCTGGTTACACTTGGCTGTCGCTTGCACGACACCATCAGTAGCCGACAGCGACGGTCTGACGACGGCGCGAGCATAGCATGAGGACGCCGGAGAAGACGAAGTCGATGATCTCGACGACGGTGAGGATGGAGAGGCCGAGGGTGATGCCGAGAGAGCCGCCCACCTCGCCCACCAGCGCCGGCAGCTCGTAAGCCCACTTCTCCTCCTGCAGCACCAGCTCCTGTCGGTAGGACTGAGGTCAGGCAGAGGTCAGACGCAGCGACCCGACGTCAGGAGCGGGACTGGCTGGCGGCTGGTGGTGCAGCCTCACCCTCCCCACCCACATCGGTGCGGCAGCGGAAACGACGCGGAGGCACTGACCCCTGAGGGCATGTCGTGCCATGCCATGCTTAAGCACGTGAAATGAGTCGCCAACTGAGGCGCTTTCCACAGATTGGCTGAAATGCTGCTCGGAGTCGTCGAAACAAGGGTGAAAAAAATTTCAAGAGCTTGGAGTCACTCTCAATGACGGTTTTCGCCATTTGCTGTTGGCGATTATTCTAGCTGGATGAAATGAGGTGACGTGAAAGGCGCCCCCTCCCCCTCCAACTTTCCACGCAAAAGTTTTAGAACCATTATATAAATGCCATGGCCTACAACAAAAGCTCACTTATTCCATCCTCACTCGTATAACCCTCGAAACCCCCTTCCGATTCCACCCACCTTGCTGGTGTAGAAAAGGCGTAGCGAGGCTGTGACTAGCATGAACGGCATCCTCACCGTCTTGACCTCCACCGTCGAGAAGTGGACAGCATCACAGCGAGGCGGGCACCGCAGGTAGCAGTCGTCCACGTGATCCGTATCCTGCCGACCGGGCGGCGGGTCACACCACCGACCAAGCAGCGGAGGCGCTATCCTGCCGACCGGGCGGCGTGTCACACCACCGACCAAGCAGCGGAGGCGCTATCCTGCCGACCGGGCGGCGGGTCACACCACCGACCAAGCAGCGGAGGTGTGGCAGCGGCAGGGTAATCTGATCTTTGCTATTGTTCTGGTCTGGTTATATGAACA